GCTGAGTTGTGTCCCAGGGACCACACCTGCTCAGCACACCACCCCTCTGGGACTGGGGCAGGTCACATAAGAGAATAGATTACAGATGTCCATACACCCTTTTCTCCTAAATCCAAGGGGAAATACTTAGATAAGTGAATAGATCTGGAATGCAGCACTCAGGCTTAGACAGCACATCATCCAAGCAAATATTTTTGCTGGGGCTGGAATTAAAAGCTGCTTTTTCTAGTAGAAGACAGAAGTCTTCTGTAGTGTTTCATCCATATGTGTTTCAGGTTCCCATTTTGCTCAATTTGCTAGCAAAGACCATCTAAAAAGGTAGTTTCTTTCCATAATAATTAAGTGGACAGACGTTGCATGTTGCAGCCAGGACTCGTTGAGCTCACAGTGGCAAATAGACTGTCTGGTAGCTACAGAACACTCCTAGAAAAAAGCCTCATTCAGCCATTTCACACAAAGGCAAGAGAGAACTGCCCCTAAAAATTGAAGAAAATAGTATGTATTGAAGCAGGAGAATGTAGTTTGGTGCACAACACAGGGAAAGTAAAAGAAAAAAGGGTGACTTTTTCTTCAAGGTTCAATGCGTAAGAGAGAAACGGTGTGAGAAGTTTAACAGGGTTGACTGTTAAGGCTTGAAAGCTGGGCTTTTTCTAAGGCAGCCAAGAAACTCCAACAGCTAAGTCACAGGTCCAGGAATTCACAGGGTACGCTGTCTGTCTCACACACTGAAGCAGTTAGTGTGAAAGGCAGTACTTCAGCGAGTTAGAGCACCCACCTCCAGATTAAGGCATGGTGGCACATAGATTTTTGCTGACAAACCAGTCAAGGTGTGGAGGACATCCTGGAGGGGATGGGAAGCATTGCTGCAAAAAGCGGGAGTTTGTTTCCTGAAGAGCTGTATGGGTATTTGGAAAGGGTATGTGGAAACAGGCTTCTATGAATATCTGTTTGAAATAATTTCCATTATCATTCTAGTGGACTTAGCAGTTTGGTTGGTTGTTTTTTGTTTTTTTTTTTTTTTTTTGGTAGTGTTTGTTATACAGGAAAATGAAACATAAACATGAATTAAACATGAAATTAAACATCATCAGGGACTGTAGTGATGGGACAAGTGGTGATGGGTTTAAAATGAAACAGGTTAAATATAAGTAAGAAGTTCTTTACTGTTAGAGTGGTGAGGCACTGGCATGGGCTACCCAAAGAAGTGGTGAATGCTCCACCCCTGACAGTGTTGAAGGCCAGGCTGGACAGAGCCTTGGGTGACACAGTCTAGTGTAAGGTGTCCCTGCCCATGGCAGGGAGTTGGAACTGGATGATGTTAAGGTCCTTTCCAACCCAAACCATTCTATGATTCTATGAGTAGCATTTAGTGATACTGGTAGGATAGTGAGAACAGGCCTCAACAGCCATTTACTTCTCTTCTGATCTCTCAGATGTGTTTTGTTTCCTAGTAGCTCAGATGAAAAACATGTGATGCCGAGTAGATGACATTTCAGATATAGTGCCTGCTAGTGCTGGCAGCAGCACTCAGCCACTGATGCACCCTCCCTTTCAATCACATAGGTTTGGGACTGGTAATGGCACATTGCACAGATCAGCAAACTGCTGGAGGGTAAAAAACCTGGTGAACGATGCTAGAAGATACTGCTGACTGACAAGAAGAACACACATGGGTCAGAGGCAAGGTTGATATTGCCAGGCAGCAAAAAGGATTTGCTTGGATAGCAGAAAAAAATCCCATGGGAGATAGAGGATTCATATTCATTTCTTATTTTTGTTTTTTTATATGAAATGAGGAAAAAGCAAGCATCTGAATGTGTTTTGGAAATTTGGCCTCAGTAGCTGGCAGCAGTTCTGGTCAGATGTTACTGGCCAAATCTAGCAGTTCTTCACTGCTGCAAAGACACAATTATTTTTTCTTTCAGTGAGAGTTTTGTCCAACAATAGACTACAGAAATAGTTCCAACAAAAGGTAAAAGAGCTGAGGAAAAGGCTACAATGTATTTAGACACAGTTAAAATAGGACTGGAGATCAAGTCAAGCAGAGGGTATATAAAAAACTAAGTTCTTAAAGAATGTGATATGTTAATTTAAAAATCAAAATTGGGTGGTGGACTATCTGTGGATTTAGAGCAGTTGGAAGGGTTCTTCCCATGAAAGCAGGCTCTGAACCATCAGTGTCATCCCAGCTACGGCACACACCATTACTTCAGAAAGTTCAAAGTAGAAGGGCTGAACAGCTTTTATGTTCAGGAAACTTGGAGCACTGTGTGCAGTTCTGATGTCTTCAACAGAAGGGCATGGTGCTGTTGGAGCAAGTCCAGAGGAGGCCACGAGGATGATCAGGGGCTGGAGCACCTCCTGTATGAAGAGAGGCTAAGAAAATTGGGGCTGTTCCGCCTGGGGAAGGGAAGCTGCATGGAGACCTCATAGCAGCCTTCCAGTATCTGAAGGAGGCCTAGAAGGATGCTGGGGAGGGACTCTTCATCAGGGACTGTAGTGATAGGACAAGGGGTGATGGGTTCAAACTGAAACAGGGAGTTCAGGTTAGATATAAAGAAGAGGTTCTTTATTGTGAGGGTGGTGAGGCACTGGAACAGGTTGCCTAAAGAAGTGGTGAATGCTCCACCCCTGTCAGTGTTCAAGGCCAGGTTGGACAGAGCCGTGGGTGTGGGAGACATGTTCTACTGTGAGTCATCCCTGCCCATGGCAGGAGTTTGGAACTGGATGATCTTAAGGTCCTTTCCAACCCAAACCATTCTGTGATGCTATGATTCTATGAAATGTGATCGCAGTAAATGCCCTTGCTCAGGAGTAACCGCTCTTGGAACTTCGTGCACAGCCTGTGGAATGTTTCTCTGAGTCTTGCTTTAAAAAAACAAGGCTAACAGGGGAAAAGAAAACATTTAAGAGATTAATCTTTCCTCTCTAAATTTGTGCTTAACTGAAAAGTTGCTATCCAAAACTATATGTGTGTGCTGTGGATTCCTCAGTATTTATGGACTGAATTCTGTTACTCCCTTTCATCTTGAGACATGCTATGATTCTGTGCTTGAGTTACACCCAGTTATAGGTGATGCAGTGCTTTTACCTGGGTGCAGAAGGATGTGACCCCAGGCCAGCAGAGTGAGTCACATCACTGTAACTGGGCTAGGTTAGCGACTTGAAAGCTTGGTATGATATGCTTATGGTGCACACATCTCCAGAAGGCTGAAGAGTTTAAACGCACACATTTCCTCAGGGACACTTGTCAGGATCTGGGCTTTCAACAGCACAGCGTGTGCTTAAGTCCTTTATCCAGAAACGGTACAGCATGGGATTGTCCTGCACTGCAATCAGGAGGGTTCTTCAGCCTAAGTCAAGCAAAGTTGTTGTGCTTAAATTTCCCACAGCACTTCTCATTGAAATGGCAAAGCAAAACATGGGAAAAAGCACCAAGTGTAAAAAAAAATTCATCACCAACAAAAGTTTGGGTATAGTTTGCTTTATTTAGTGTGCTGGAAGGGAACTGAATTAATTTTTTATTTTTATCTGTTCTGATTCACTTATTCCAACAATAGTTAGAAATAAATGAGAGTTATTCTTTCTGTTAGATCAATTATTCATAACACAGATCATTTAAAAATTAGTTTAGCAGACACAGCTTGCTTCATTTTTACTAAAACTGAAAAAAGAAATTAGCCAAATTAGTTAAAATAGCTTTGAACTCCATATTGACAAAAGCATTTGTGCCAGAATAAAAATTCATGACATATAAGAATGGTATAAATGATTAATCATGTTATTAGTTCATGGATATCTATATTTTTATTTAATTACATCTATGCATAATATAAACTGTCTGAATCTTGGGAATCCAAGCCAGAGAAGCTGAAGAGTCATCTTATATTTAACATGCACCATGTGTTGTTTTCTTCTAAGGTTAATTTGTAAAATGTAAATCACATACTATTTGTAAGCAATGTTTGAGTACTATTTATAGAAAGTCTTGACCATTTATAATTATCTGACATTTTTATCCATAATGTCTGCTATGACTAAAGAGTTGCTTATGGAACAGACAAAACAGTGTTATTTTTACAGCTGAACTTCATTTGATTTGATGTAAAACTTTTCAGAGTAATTTATGCCCCATAAAGTAGTGAAGGGTTTTTCTGTACTCTGATAGTTATCTGTCAAGCAGACTATTTCCCAGTAGGATTCAACACAGTATCCTGTCGTGGCTTAAAACCAGTCAGGCAGCTTGTTCACTCACTGCCCCCCTTCTTTCCCTCCCCCTACTCCCAGGGGGACGGAGAGGAGAATCGAAAAGAATGCAACTCCCAAGGGCTGAGATAAGAACAGTTTAGTAACTAAGGTATAACACAAATCACTGCTGCCACCACCAATAATAACAATGATAAAGGAAATAACAAGGGAAGAGAATACATCACCTCACCACCAGCCAACCGATAACTCTCCCCCCCCCAGCCCGACCAAGCACTGACCCATACCTCCTCCAACCCTGCAGACTCCCAGCCCTTCCGGCTAACTCCCGGTTACATCCTGGGCATGACGTGCTGTGGTATGGAACACCTCTTTGGCTAGCTTGGGTCAGGTGTCCTGTCTCTGCTTCCTCCCTGCTTCCCCTCCTCCCTGGCAGAGCATGAGGCTCACAAAGTCCTTGACCAAACCAAAGCATCATTGTTATCAGCTCTGTTCCCGAGCTGAAAGTCAAAACACTGCACTGCACCAGCTACCAAGAAGGAGAAAAATGACTGCTACTGCTGAACCCAGGACAACCCAAAACTGTTTTCTGAATGCCCCAAGGTCCAACCCTGTAGCAGCCAAGTCACTCCTGATATCTAGAGCAGCTCAATTCCCAACTCCCATTTTCCTCTCTTGGAAAATGTTCTTTGTTGAACACAGTCTGTATGGACAAGTGCCTCTGTAGCATGTATGTGTTGTTACTGACTGCTTTATGGCTGCTGATTCTTGGTTTTCTCTTTCTTTCTTTACAGAACTCTGGAAGTGTTGGTGAGTTTGAGTGAAGGGCAATCTTTCATGTCCAGCTCATTAACAATCACAGCTTCAGAGTGTGTAAGTAAGCGGATAACATCAGTCAGTCTAAAATCCTGAAATCCAGTTTCTCTTTTGGCTTTACCATTGCACAACTTCTCAGTGCAGAGAACCTCAGCGCATGGCAAGTCCTGGTGGACATCTGGAGCACCCAACTACAAATACACCTGTGCAGACACATATGGAATAGACAGAATTCTATTGATACCTGAGTTCTTAATGTGTAGTGCTCACATATATGGATGTCCTAAGATGCTTTCTCTGTATTTTGACACACACTTAGAATCTGTTTTATAACACACAACAAAGGGTTTTCAGCTAGTTAAGTTCTCTGATGAAGCATGTGTGTATGTGGGGGTTACAGACAAGATTTTTTCCTGTAGTTATATAAAACAATTCCCTTAACTCTTCTCATTAAGCTGGAAAACGGATTTATTTTAGGAAGATCTTTTCTTTGCAGGACCCTATGTAAGTGAAGCATTGCTATACGTATCATATGAGACTTCCTAATAACACACAAAAGCCATGTCTCATGTGGCAGGCTTGGAGTTTTACCTTTGCCTTCTGATGTAGGCTCTAAGGGTTTCTCCTCTCACTGATGTTGCATGTGTTCTGCTAGCTGCTTCAGGGGTTGCTGATTTAGACCATCTGCAGAACAGTTTAAATAGAGGAAAAGCCCTGGAAATCTCCTCTCCCAGGGTACTTCATCTGGCTCTGGCCGTGAGATCCAAGTAGTGTCTGTGTGTTTGTGGTCTGGGCAGGGCTTGTATTTTTCTGGAGCTTGGGAATTGTATTTTGCTAAATGACTTTAGCACAATGTGCAGCTGAGGCTTTCAAAATATTGGGAAGCTTCCGTGCCATCAGAGATTTGCTCACTTTAACAGTAATCATTTGGTAAGAGCCAGGTGTGAGACAGTCACCTCGGGTCCTGTCCCAGCACAGTGCACTTCCGACATGCTGTGGGATCAGTGGGAGCAGGCTGAAGCTGAGTAGACAGGACCTTCAGACTTCAGCCTGGTATTGAAGGTGGTTATAATCCTATGGGAGGATACTAATGCCACGTAACTTTACATACCTGACTTTGGTGCCCAGATATGGAGTGCAGGCTCTCAACTCTGTTAATTAGAGGAGATAGTCTTTGTCAAAGCACAGGCTGGAGCGCTTAAATTTAGCCTAGGGTTAAGGTAGTGTGAACATCTGGCTATGTTTTCTCATAGGCTTAGAGAGAAGTTAACAACAGCTTCTAGGATAAACCACATACTTAGCAGTCAGTGACTTTCCTAGTGTAATATATCCAATTTCTTACCTCACATTCCCGCTGTCTGTTAATTTCCTGTCTCTTCTGTATTATGTAGGCAAGAGAGGTGAAATGTTTGCAGTTTGACACCAGACCACTACGTAGGGCTGGAGGTTTGGAAAGCGTGCTGTGCATGGATACCCTGTTTTTTGAAATCTCTCTCATTTAATAATTGACTTGACTGCAGTTTTTCTGTCAGGCACAGAACATACAGAACAGTACCTGCTGCTCATTAGCATATATTCTTCCAACAGTATTTGGTCACAGAATCATAAAATCAAAGATTGGTTTGGGTTGTAAAGCACCTTAAAAATACCCAGTTCCAAACCCCTGCTATGGGCAGAGACACCTCACAGTAGACCATTTTGCCCAAGGCTCTGTCCAGCCTGGCCTTGAACGCTGCCAGGTGTGGAGCTTCACCACCCTCACAGTAAGGAACCTCTTCCTTATATCTATCCTGAAGTTTCCCTGTTTCAGTTTAAACCCATCAGCCCTTGTCCTGTCGCGACAGTCCCAGATAATGAGTCCCTCTCCAGCATCCTTGTAGACCCCCTGCAGATACTGGAAGGCTGCTCTGAGATCTCCACCTTATTGCTCGTAGGTAATTAAGCTAAGAGAAAAAATGACATTTTTCTTCTGTTCATTTAAAACCTAAATACTTTTGTAACTGTAGAAATCAGAGTCATGTCAATTCAGCCCTTCAGTTACAGGAAGAAAGCCTGAATGAATTGAGAGCTGAAGAAACATATACTACCCGAATCACATTTCTCTGTTTAAAGGCTCTATCATTCAAAAGCATTTCAGTCTTGCCCCAAAACATGCTGAAGCAGCCTCTCGGCATGATAATGTAAGGCCAGTACAGTCACAGGAGCTTGCTGGAAACTAGCAGAGGGCTGTTTTTATCTTAGTCCATTTCCAGTCTGTCCCTGTGCCCCCTTAAAAATGGCTAAGATTGCAGAGATAGGTAAAAACAAAGCATCGATGCAAAGCACCCTACCACACTGCTGGGTCTTCCCTTTGCTGTGCTGTCTGAGTCAGAAGTTTTCACTAACAGGAAACACAAAGAGTGCAGATGTGCATTGACAAAAAAAAATTGTTGTACTTCTGTTCACCCTCTTTTTATTTTTTTCTTTGCCTTTCATACACGTTGCAGCAAAGACAGCTCCACACAAGGAGAGCTGCTGTTTCCATAGTAGCAGATGGGCAACTGCAAAAAATGGGTCATTGCTGGAATTGTTCCACTAATTCTGATAGCTGAGCAGCTGATGGCTGGTTGGTGTAGATGAGTTATAAGTTATAGCCTCCCCTAGCAAACACACGGTGCTGCAGTGAAAACAAACAAAAGATACGTGGCATCTAGGCACTGTGGCACGCATCCCACCTGCTTCTCGTAAACATGTATGAGTCACTGCACCTACGTGTACTTACTGTAGAATCACAGAATCCCATACTCGTTTGGGTTGCATAGGAACTTAAAATAATCCAGTTCTAACTCCCTGCCACAGGCAAGGACACTTCCACTAGCAACTTCCAGGTTGTTCCAGGCGCTGTTGAAGCTGACTCTGAACACTACCAGGGATAGAACATTGATCACTTCTTTGGGCAACCTGTTCTAAACATGGAACAAAGCTCAGTTTCAGCTTCCAGTTGTAATGGTGTATCTCCAGTACAACCTCTTTCACTTTGACAGGGCTACTCACACTGTATACCAGCCTTAGTGACTTCAACTTTGTTTTCTATCACAAGTCTTCATGGAAAAGGAAAATTCAAAAATTACTAAGAAGAAAGCTTCAAATTCTCTTAGTTTAAAAAAATTAGCTTCCTTTCCTTTTTCCTCACCTGAAGTCTAAACAACTTCTCTTTTCCCAAGGCCACTGTTGCACTGTTTTCTGCATGTTGTACTAAACCAGCACAGCAGCACGAAACACCAAGTGTAAGAATAAAAGCACCTACAGGATGTGGTTTTGAGGTGGTGGGAGATGGGCTGCTCATTTCTTTACTAAAAGCACTATTGCTGGAAGCAGTAACACTTGGTCAGAAAATCTCAGGATGGTGGGTTCAGGTTCAAACAGCACTACTACAGATATTCAGTGTGCTGTATATAGAATCATAGAATGGTTTGGGTTGGACAGGACCTTAAGATAATATAGTTCCAACCCCCCAGCCATGGGCAGGGAAGCCTCACACTAGACCGTGTTGGCCCTATGCAGTGTGAATGCCCCAGGTGTGTGGGCAATAAGCATAATAGCCTTATATGTGTATTGTTAGGAGAGATTTCTTAAAATTCCACCCACCAATCCATACAGACCTGTGTTGTCACAGAAAGAAGAGGAGGAGGACTCCTCACTCAGGAGGACTCCTCACTCAGGAGGAGTCTTACTTTGTTTGTGTCCAGCAACAGCTCATTTCTTAGCAGTTAGTGTACACTTTGTTTTCTTCAAGTTGGGCCTTACTCATTTGGGATTTTTATCATTCAGTACAAAGCTGTTTTGGAGTGAATGGGAATACCGGCAGCAGTTGTTTGCAACATCCACTGACACTGTCTTTCTGCTTTCTTCTCAGTCTAGTGGAGTAGCAGCTCTTGTTGCTGTTCTTGTGTTGTTACTGTTAGTGGCACTCGCTCTGCTCTGGTGGTTCTGGCCCCTCTGCTGCAAAGTGGTGAGTAAAGACTGTTGGAAACTGTCAATGCATGTCTGACTCATGATGATAACTCATAGGGAAACTCAGGCTGGGAAACACAGATACCATGGGAAACAGGTTTATTAACAGGAGAGCTACATGTGACATATGCTGTCTATTGAGGGAGTTTTCTGTAATTAGCAATACACACTAAATGGAAGAACAGACAACTTCAACACTGAGGGCTGCACTCTTAGCAGTTCTTCTGGCTTTCTGAGACTTGCACGCAGGGAAACGAGCACCAGCATGCTGCTGTGATGCTCATTGGCTTTCTACTGAGTAAGCACATGTTCTATTTCTGTAAAAGTCTTTCATAAAAGCCTTTTATTATTTGGAAGTTGTTTGCCATAGTGGTATGAAGATGTTACCCTGAAATCGATATTTTAGAAGTACTAGCACTTAAAATTGATATTTGTAATCCATTAAGGGCTCTCAAGGTAGAAATCCCTTATTGTCTTAATAATCCTTTGCATACATTGAATCTCTCTTCATCAGAGTGCATGTTTATTATTCATCCAGTTCAATGACAGTGCTGAGGACTTGGGGAATGGAGGTTGCTTCCAGGGTGTTAACTGCACTCCTTGTCTTGTCTTGGGCTTGTCTTGGGGACAGCAGAAGAACCCGTTTCTGATTCTCACCTGACCATGCTGAAACCCTTGGGTGCGGTCTGTCAGACCTCAGGCTATCCTAGGGCAAGAAGTCCTCAGCTCCCATCTGCATCCTCATTGTCTGGGGTTTCTGTGTCCTCTATGAACTCATCTCTAATAAGAAGACTCTCTTCTGTCTCATTCTTCAAAGTACAGCCCCATCACAAATCTCAGGAGTTTGCCTGTTAGCTATTTTACTTCAACTTTGTTTTCTATCACGAGTCTTCTGTAGAAAAGGGAAATTCAAAATCACTAAGAAGAAAGCTTCCAATTTTCTTTATTTAAAGTAATTAGGTAACCTTAACTCATAGGCCATCTTCACACTTCTTAGTTTCTATACTTCCCAAATGTAGAAAGCAGCTACAAATAGGCTAGTTTGTCAGAGCTCTCAGTACAACTTACCTCGCCTTAGTAGGGGTTGTCACTAGCTGAATATGACTGTCAGAACATAATCCATGTGTCTACAATTTATGTTAGCCCAGAATCAGTCTTTTGCATCTGGAAGTGCAGTTGATCACACCATACTCAATTGTGCATTCAGTTTTCCTCATCTGCCAAGTGGATGTTTGAGGGTTTTTTTCAGCATCAAGTTTACACATGCAGTGAAAAAAATCCAAATACTCTTCATATTGGTCAGTGTTCAGAAGTCAGTGCTTGTCAGTGGTCAGTTCTCATGCTGTAGTACAACCTCATACACTGTGCATTTTCCTTTCATTACGGTAAGAAGTGACTGCAGTATCTCATCCTCTTGAGAGGAGGAATTCTCTTTCCAGTGGTGACTCTGTAATGACATCAGTAAGGTGCTTTCTGGATTTTTTAATGTTCAAACCCTACATTAAAAAAAAAGGTCAGATCTATAGTTCTACAGGTTAATTTCCAGTCCTTTTGGTAGTTATGCTAGTGTAATACATTAAAATGTTAGCTGCACCAGCCTATGCCTGTTACAAGTGAAAGGAGTTCAGTTTACATTACAGGTATACATCAACACATGTGCAGAGCTCTGGAGGGGTATCTCAGGTAGGACCCAATTCATGGGAAGAGATGCCCTTTATAACCAATTACAGAGTGAAGATCCTACATTGGGTGCCGAGGATGCACTGTGGCATTAAGGCAGGGTTCTTTCTGGACTGGTCTCTTGTGTGGAGATACATCTCCACAAAGCAGCACTGAGCTGTGAGAAAACATCCCTTGGTTCTCACTCACCTTGGGTTTAAGTCTGTTCCTTTCTGATGCGTACTTTAAGGGATGGTAACTTACCTGAGTATCTTTCCTGGATATAGTGTTTGATACAGGAGTAATTGGCTATTTCTGGGGACGTCTTGATCTATAGATGATTGGTAAATTATTACTAAGAAGCAGCCTGACTTCTGTGGGCCCAATAAAGCCACAGCACTTTAAATGTTAGTGCCCTCTGTTGTCTTCGCCCCACCTCTTATGGATATTATTTGTTTCTTTGAAAAGGAAAGGTAATTTTAGACTCAGTGCTACAACAGTACTGAGTTCCAAACCCATATATTCTTGCACTGAACTGACTCTTTTCCTTTCCTTGTGTTTTGATGTCTGTTTCCTCCATCCATTATACCATTCCTCCATTCTTCTCCCTCTCTCCTGCACCTGAGGTTCTCACAGTACATGTTACTGCCAATTCTGGCTATGCAGCTTTGGGTTTTGGTGATGGTGTCCTTGATGAGAGGCAGCAAATCAGGCACAGGCAGGACCTTCTCTGACTCTGCTTCCCTGGCAGAGTGCAGCGTCTAGTTTTGTGGGACAAAGAATAGGAGCAAAGGAGAAAGCCGCAGCCCTCAAGCCTTGTAAACTTCCCATGCTTCAGAATCAAATGGGAGAGAGGGAGGCAAAAGGTGTCCTGGACAGAACACAGTGAGTGTCTGGAGCCACATGAGCATGTAATCCCTTCCACAGTAAGCCTCAGCTGATTTGGGCACTCCATTCTTGCTGGGCCTCAGTCCTGACTGTGTTCCTCGCTGTAAGGTCGATGTTGGGTGTTGGGGTAGGTGGACTCCTTTTCCTTGTTCTTCCTCCCTCCCACCCTTTTTTTTTTTTTTTAAAGCAGTTTACTGTTGACAGTTCTTTCACTCTTCTTCCCTCAATATCAGAGCATATGATCGCATCAAGCTGGCTTCAGGCTCTGGTGCTGACATTTCCTAATGCCCACATCACACGAACATTTGAAAAGTGTTAATGAGCAGATCAAAGGGACTGTTGCCTGAAGTAACTAACTTTTTTTTTCTTTCTTTAAGAAATCAGCTCTCCTCCAAACTCAGTTCTTCATTCTTTGCAACTAAATAAATGAGATGCAGCCTTTCATGGTGATGATGATGCTGATAAGCCAAAACAAAATTAGGAAGTGAACCCTCGCTACCTGGGGTTAATAAGACAGCAGCATTATTCAGTCTTCCCTATTTAAACCATCTGAATCAAGTTCAGGGAAAGGTAATTTGAAGTATTAAGATCTCCAGTATGTGCAGTTTCATGCTACATTTGCATTCTTTTCTGCCAAAGCTGCATCAGTTCCTTGGATTTCTGTTTCTTAAAAATGGCTTTCTACTAAAAAATGGCTTAAAAGTGGCTTTCTACTGATTTCACTTGAAATATCACTCAAGACTGAAAATAATCTTTGTGTGTGTGCGTGTGAGAGAGAGGGAATGTGTGAGGAGCCTGTAGAAACATAAGGATGCAGGCATTTGCATTCCACTTCTGTCAGCAGGGGTGAGTATCTGCTACTCAAAGCAGACTATTTTCTCACACCACTGTCACATTTAAAACAAGTTTCATTTTCTGAAGCTATTAGAAATAGCAGCTAATTAATGTATTGGTTAGCTTCAAACCAAGTGTACCCTGTAACTTCAGGGAGCTTAGCAGCTGGCACAGGATTAGATCCTTCATTTACAGAATCAAACTGCCACTGACTTGGCTCTTTTGAAGCCCAGTGAGGTATACCTGTAGTTCTTCTTGGTTCACTGGGGTAGAAATGTTGATTCCATAAATATCAGTATGCACAGGGCCCAAGAAAACTTTAGTATGTGCCACAAAGAAGTTTGTCTTTGCTTGGGGGAGATTGCAAAACTTCAGAATTGTAGAACTGTAGAAAGTGGAGTGATAATACCGTTTAATGCATATTTATATATGCATATAATACCATTTAATGCATATTTCTATAAAGCCACAAGCTAGCTAGGCCTTCCCCTTGTACAAGCTTGCAGTCTTGGCAGCAAAATCCATTTTTTGAGCTAATCATTAGAGATGGGCAAAAGGGAAATAAGAATGTGAATTAAAGAAGATAAGGTGACCCTTAATACACTGAAATACTGCTTTACCATTTCCAGTCTTTTAATTGCTTTCAGTGAGAATTAAATATCTTCATGCCCTGGAAAACCTTGCTCAGCATCCAAGTATCTCACAGAATCTGTCCTGTGATCCCTCTGTGTTGTTTGCTCTTGTAAAATGAGGGCAGTAATTCCAAGCTGGTTCTCAGGAATGTTTCGCTGATTAAATAATCCATTTCTGTTAAGTAACCTGAAAATTCCTGATGGGTGGAAAGAAAAAGTTTTCAGCACTAATTCATGAAAAGTAATGTCTGACATCATAGCAGCAAAGGATATCTGGTTAAAATCCATAGTTGGCTTTTCAGTCCACTCCAAGTGCTCTGAGCTTGCTTGACAAACAGTTAAGTATCTCAAACCTGAAGTGCTATGGAAAAATATTTCTAGGGGTGCTGTAACTTCTCTTATTTGACATAATTCCTGTATCCAGCGCTAAAAGTCCACAGGCAGTAACTAGTGACTATCTTGGTAGCACTGTGTCTTGAAATGGAAATCAAGAAGGAAAACTCTTGATTATTGGTCAAGAAAAGTGCATTTCTTTTATGTATGAGGCTATGCATCTCTGCAGTGACATTATTTATCATGGACATTGGTGGTCATGTTTATGTAATACTAAGGCATAGCTGAAACAGACTCCTTGATACTCATGGGGCATTTTTTAGTCATTACTATACAAAAGTCGAGTGCAAAAGATGACTTGACATCACTAGAATACTTTTTAGCTCACAAATCTGCTTTTTCTGTTGAAGAATGGCTGGCATTCACTTTTCATCTGAATTCATCCTCTTCCCCTCCCTATTCTGCTTGGTGGATTCCTATCAGTAGCAAGGAACTCCCTGAGATGTACAGTATGTATGTGAGAAAGAGAACAGGAAGAAACTATAGGTAGAGGTTTAAATATAGCTGTAAGTAAATTATCCTAAGAGCAGGTCTTATCCAGAAGCCATTTGAGAAGCCTCATGACTCTCCCTGCTGCTGGCAGGTGTGCCACACTGAACAGTCAAGGAGCTACACACTTGAAATGATTAGATCTCAAATGTGAGATCTGTGGAAACATTCTAAACGTCTAGAAGTGAAGCCTGACCTACTAGGAGGCATTTCACACTTATCATTCCGCCAGAAATTATTCAGTAGCATGGCACAAGGAAGCCGGCATCTTGGCCCCAGATTAATCAAGACCTCACATAGACCTTATGATGCTTTTCTTTCCAGGCTTGCTAATGAACTCCATAGAGTTTAATCACTGGCTATTACTTTGAATGACTGAATCCTGTCCGATCAGGAAGCAAAGTGGCAGACACGTATGCCCAAAGAGTGTCTGCCAGTCAATGGATGTTATTTTCTATTAGATGGATGGTGTTAATTTCCAGAAGGCCTTGATAATCGATACCCAAGGGACTTGGCAGCAGCAGTTGCCAGTTTGCAAACAGATGTAGGGGACTCAGATGGAAACAGTTCACTCTTAAAATTTTCTGTTGGGTTTTGGATGCTGTCAATGCAGTTTCTTATGCTTTTGTATGTTTGGCTCTTTCAGGTCATCAAAGATCCCCCTCCGTCTCCACCAGCTCCCAGAGAGGTATGGTATGATGATGCTTCGCTCATCACACTGCTTAACACCACACCACTCTGTGCTTTCCTGTGTTCTGTGACTTCAGCTCTTTGTCCTAGCTGCTTCGGAAGAAAGAACTACCCTGTGGGAAGCCTTAAGCTGAGAGCAGGATGGCTAAAGTCCAAATCTCTGTTCTGCCTCACTCATCTCAGTGTGGCATGAATTAAGGCCAAATTCACAGAAATATTTAGAGGCTTCATCCCAGTATAGTTGAACGTTATTTTTCCCATTCTGGAGCGAAAACAGAAAGACTGACAAGCTCTTGTTATAACAATCAAAAGATTCCTGTATGACTTAAAGAGCATTTTCCCACAGCTTTGCCATTCTAGACACTGAACAAGCCTTACAAGGGAATTTCTCTCCCTCTTACGGGCAATAATGTGCTAGAGGATGTTCTGGTGTCTTCAGTGTTTTTCCCCCTTGGTCTTGATTTAGATGATTGCTTGAGCATACTCAAGCATACTCTGACAGTTAGGTCCATGATGAGGCACACTTGACTGAGCTGAGGCAGCCAAGAGCAAGTTTGACAAAGGCTGGCTTAGGAAACTGTGTAACCTTTATCTGCAGATCTGCTGAACACCGTCTGTTGAATCCAAACGTGTAGGCCTGATGATCTGTCTCGCGGAAGACATTATATTTTCTGTAGAAGAAGCCACTCCAAATTCTTCTCTTTGTGTATGTTTTGCTTATTTTTATTTGTGGAAAGGAAAAGGATGAAGCAAATAAATGACTGCCAGTAGAACGCACAGATTCTTCATTTGGACTTCCCTGATGGTCACCACCAATGCTTTTGTCATGCGAAATACTAGAAGTACTTCCAAACATGACCAGATTTTGTTTGGAAGTTGCTGAACCCTTGGGAAAGTTAAATATCTGAACTTTCACACCTGACACGAGAAAACTTACTCTCTGTGGACTTTAGTGAAATATAGTTAAAAATACAGTTAGTGGGGAAAGAAAAAATTATCTTTTGAAGTAAATGTTGTTTGAATTTATTGACAGGAAGAAGAACAAGAGCCCTTGCCTACCAAGAAATGGCCCACAGTAGATGCTTCTTACTATGGTGGACGAGGAGTTGGAGGAATTAAAAGGATGGAGGTTTGTGCAATGGGGAGATGCCAATTCACTGACACACAAGCTCTCTGAGGCTACAAGTGGTGGACACACAGACTTTCAAAGTGTACTGGAAATACAAGGGCATAATATGTACTTCCTTCCAGTGACGTAAGCCTTGAAAACTCTTTTACTGTATCAAACAGTTTTGACCTTGCCCATGAAAGAACAGCTTTCAGTAATTCCATTTGACTGGAACTTTAAATAGCTGCCTGAAGACATGCTCTTTCCATCGAGGTAATGAGAGAGTGAGAGCCTTTTCTCAATGTTTTGGAAGAAATTACAGTGAAACATAAGTCCTCCAACTGCGGGCCAGCCAAATGAGCTGACAATGGTGATGCGAAGGAGAGGCTTGATCCCAAAGGAGCTCAGAGCGACAACAGTGCCTGTCTTTGAAGAGACACGATAGCATCATGTTAATTAAAACAGAATGAAAAATGTGCATCCTTATGGGCACGTCCTTATGTCAGATTTTATAGTCAAGTCAGCCTTTATGGCATTTGCAAAGCAGTTTTCTGCAGCTTTTAACTTCATTCTCCATCTGAAATACCCACCTAGGTCATATTGATGTATCTTGATGAAACTTTAAAGGTATCGGCCTAAGAGTCAGCCTTGCTTGAGTTCTTTTTAAATGCAGCAGAAGAACGTGCAAGTTTAAAGTTGTGCTGCTTAGATGTGTTTCCTTCAGCAGTTCATCATTGCTAATTTAGAAGTGATACAGATTCTAGAAAAAGAAAACATTCTGTGCAGTTCTTTTCAGAGACAAACTAGATCATGCTTTCCAAACTAAAGAATAGAAGTCTGGATTTTTAATGGGAGCTGTGATGAAGCTCTGGGAGGGGTTCCAGGGTTTAAATCATTACAGTTTGTAAATGGGATCTTGCACAATGAAACAAAAACCTGTTAGATAGCTGGTGAGCACAAGTAACATTGGTACTATCAAGAAATCCTTGTTCATCATGTGGGAAAAATACAGTATTTCCTCTTCAGAGTGGAGATCAAAAAGTAATGATGAGGTTAGAAAACTTGATCTGTGTGAGGAATTGTGTGCAGGACTAAGGGCTAAAGATGTAAACCAACTGAAACTGCTGATAAGGCAATAATGGGCTCTTGAAGGGAACTGCATTCTTGGGAGCTGTGTCTGTGTCCTTCTATGGGACCCAAGAATAGTAACCCAAGAGATTCAGAGCAGCCCTGCAGAGAAGGACTTGGGGGTGTTGGTCGATGAGAAAATGAAGATGAGACAGCAGTGTGCACTCGCAGCCCAGAAAGCCAACTGTATCCTGGGCTGCATCAAAAGGAGTGTGACCAGCCGGTGGAAGGAGGTGATCTTGCCCCTCTACTCTGCTCTTCTGAGACCTCACCTGGAGCATTGTGTACAGTTCTGGTGTCCTCAGCATAAAAAGGACATGGAACTGTTGGAACAAGTCCAGAGAAGGGCCACGAGGATGATCAGGGGACTGGAGCACCTCCTGTCTGAGAATAGGCTGAGATAGGCTGAGAATGTTGGGGCTGTTCAGCCTGGAGGAGAGAAGGCTGCATGGAGACCTCATAGGAGCCTTCCGGTATCTGAAGGGGGCCTATAGGGATGCTGGGGAGGGACTCTTTATTAGGGACTGTAGTGATAGGACAAGGGGTAATGGGTTAAAACTTAAACAGGGGAAGTTTAGATTGGATATAAGGAGGAAATTTTTTCCTGTTAGGGTGGTGAGGCACTGGAATAGGTTGCCCAGGGAAGTTGTGGATGCTCCGTCCCTGGCAATGTTCAAGACCAGGTTGGACAGAGCCTTGGGTGAGGTGGTTTAGTGTGAGGTGTCCCTGCCTGTGGCAGGGGGGTTGGAACTAGATGATCTTAAAGTCCTTTCTAACCCTAACTATTCTATGATTCTATGATTCTAATAAATTGTGGGGTTGGGTGTCACATCATGAACACCTGAGCATTTGAGTATGGAGCTTTACTTCTGTCCTGTTTCACTCCTGCCTTCCCCAGTAGCTTCACCCATTTGCGACAGTCCATCATGTAGCCAGCATTGTTCACTCTTCGTAGATCTGCCTTTTGGCATTACTTTAAAAGTTTATGATGACATTTCTAGCCCCACCTATTACAGGCAGTCAGTTTTTATGTGAAAGTTGTGTCGTCATACTCCACAAATCCTGGGTTCTTTTGGGTGAAGTCACTTTATTCCAAAGGATAAGGTCATCTTAGCAGCAAGGAATCCGCCATCTTTCTCTAAATGATTTTAACAGTGTTTAAAATAGTTTTTTTAACAGCCTCATAAAAAACACCATAAAAGTACCATTGATCACTGTGCAAGACACAGATGCATTTTAATGAGGCAGCAGGGCCTACTTGGACATGAAAGCCCATTCTAATATTGCAGAGAGAGGATTCCCCAATGAGGAGAAGAAATTAAATAGCAAGCCAAACAGTAAGGTCCAAAATAACAGAAAGGTCCAAAAGAATCCCCCTCCTGAGAAACAATGGTGTATTTTACCAAGGTGAGTTACAATATTACAGACCAAATTAAGCTCTGTTGTAGTTTGCTACTCTCACTCTTTATACTGAGATTACATGGAAAAACACACTTCCTGGTGGTGATAAAATGACAAAATCTTCCTCCAGAGTATTTCATTTTTCTGAAAGGGCCTAGACTCTGGCATGCCTACATATTTTCTGCACTTTGTCAGCACATTGTGCGTATGGTGCTGATGAGGATGAAGTCAGGCTGCTTCCTTCTCCCATTCTATGCCATACTTATCCCAGCACATTACAGAGTGTCCCTAGGAGGACCTGGAGAAGTCTTCCCACTCCCTCTGGGCAGCAGAAGGAGGACCAGGGGCATGTCTTCTTCCTGGTGAGCAAAACTGTTTTGCATCCCTTGGCAGTGGGACAGTTGTTGCACCCCAGTTCTTCTGCCTACTTTTCAAGTGCTTGAACTGGCAGGTAGCGAGAAAGAACTGATACGCACCTGCTAAGCAGCGTGCAGTGATGCTCCTAATGCTTTCCTTCAGGGTGGAAGGTCAGTCTTGTCTGACTTTTCTTACTTAGGTTCTTCTCTCTTCATGCCAGGAGATCCCTGAGAAAAAGGAGTATGCTGGTGAGGTCCTGCAGGAACCTGTTTTCCACTAAGTTTCTTGACTCATCAGCGTGTCACATTTACCCAGGATGTAATGTCAGAATTTGATTTCCTGAGTTTAGGTCTGTCAGGTCCTCCTTACAGGCTACATTGTAGCAGATGGCATGATTTAGGAAGTCTTGCACTGAAAATTAATCCAGGCCATTTTTACCAAGAACTTCCAAACACCAGGCATAGCTTTTAGATGCTCTTTTTGGGTCATAAAGTAACAATCTTATCTAGGTTTGCTGCTTTGTACAGTACAGCAAACATCCTTGCTCAGATTGCTTCACAGTGTTTCCAATGAGAAGATGAAATAATATTACTGTAGTAAGACAAATCATCTCTCTTAGAGGGAAGTTTGGTTTGTTGGTTTGGGTTTTTTTTTCCTGTATTTCCTCTTTACAGCATAATAAGTACAACCTTTTATGGAAATGGAAATAGGTGCTTGTCTTACCAAGGGCAATAACCCAGGTGTCGTTTCTCTTTGAACTCTTTGTATATATTCTGTATAGTTAGGGCAGTGACAAAATATACATTGCTACATGTTTTACATTAACTTACCATGCATGTTAGACTACTTTATCTGCATTTGCTCCAGTATGTATCTTCATGCAGGACTACTTGAAACCTGAGTAGTTTCAAGGAGTTTCTGCTAAAACCTGCTCAAGTATTGCCTTCTATTTAATTGGGGTTCTCAACAAACATGCTGTGTTAGGAAATCTGGGGTGACAAAGATCTAGGCTGTCATCAGTGCCAGGTTAAGGTCTGGTATTGTAAGATAAATCTGAACTAGAAATAATACCTTTACATCATTAATTAGATGATTTCCTGTCTCCTATACAGCCTGTCTGCATGGTACAGTTGAATTGTCTTTCAGTATTTCTCTTGCCTTTTCACTACTGAGAGTGCCTGAATGAAGAGGGAACATTTTCCTCAGTACCTCCCCTCTTATTTATTCAGAAATTCTTCCAAATTTAAATGTTTTCAATTACTTCTGTTATTTGCAACAGTTCCCTTGTCCACTGCATACAGCACCTTCACATCTGAACTCTGGCTTTCCTTAGGTTCGCTGGGGTGATAAAGGATCCACTGAAGAAGGGGCTAGATTAGAAAAAGCAAAAAATGCTGTGGTGAAACTCCCAGAAGAACCAGAAGAACCTTTTTATCCAAAGCCACCTAGACCAAAGCCTACCTCACCAGCCATTCAGGAGAAGTGGTATACGCCAATTAAGGTAATCTTTGCAGTCTTCAATATAAGAGAATTCTGTGCTAAAGGCTGGATTCTACCTTACCAGTCTTTTGCATGCTGAAGTGTAGATTATTTTTCAAGTATTCACATCCAAGTGAAATGTACTATTCTCAAAGCAAACACCTACTCAGGATGAATAGCAAGAACAGTTTTTAGCCCTAAATACACTACATCATTAATGCCACATTCTGTTTTCCTTTTCCTGGTAAGAGTACTAAAATCTGTGGGGCCTTTGTTGGCATTTGGTCTATCTCAGTGTTCAAGGCCAGGTTAGACAGAGCCTTGGGTGACGTGGTCTAGTGTGAGGCGTCCCTGCCAATGGCAGAGGGGTTGGAACTAGATGATCCTAAGGTCCTTTCCAGCCCAAACCATTTTATGATTCTGTGATTCTGTAACTAACTAAGCCTAACACGCCACCTTTTGTAGCTGTTTTAAACACACTTACCAAGAAAACCATACAACCAAGAAAAGCAAAAGATTATATAAAACAATATAATGCAAAAAGTCTGATAAACAAGTGAAACATAATAAATGGCATAAAATAAAGACACTGATTTCCGTAGGTGCTGTGAGTTGTGTAAGAGCAGACAATACATGGGTTTACCTGGGAGTATGGATGTTCTGCCTTCACAGCTGTATACCACATCCCTGGCAGTTCGAAAGCTGCTTGAGAACAACCAACCTGCTGTATACATGCTGTAAGAACAAATACATTGATGTGAGAGAAACCTCAGATGGACACATGGCAATTCAGCCCAAAATATTGGCAAATAAACATATTACTTCTAGATGGCTCAGAAGTAAATGTGGGTTAGGTCACAGCCACTGCAGGGCAGATAAGAGCACAGTACCTGCCATTCATTCACTGATGCAGCCACATGGTGTAGGTGACATAGCTGAAATCTGTCTGGCCCTAGGGAACTGGTGCTCAGTGCTGCCAGTACATTTCTCCATGGAGCAACGTGGGTGGTAACTTAGCAGGTGTGCTCTCCATTGACTGATTTTGTTGTACTGAAAGTCGTGTTGCTCTGTTGCCACAGGGTCGACTCGATGCACTGTGGGCACTGTTACGAAGACAGTATGACAGAGTCTCTTTGATGCGACCACAGCAAGGAGATGAGGTTTGTGTGTGGTGTGTGTATCTGCTATGGTTAGCAAAAGAGGGGCATGTCACAGCCAGGCTTTAGCACCTGCTGAACGCTGGCAGTCTTGTGACATTAAATAAGGAAAGCACTGCAGCCGAAAGAATGGCACAACAGGAAATATAAAGCATGGGGGAAACAAAGGGCATTGAGAAATGCATCACACCAGCCCCAAGATATTGCAGAAACATAGATCTCCTGAAAGCAGAGTGAAGGACTCCTTACTTTGTGTGTGTTCAGCTAGAAAACAAAAACATGGCACACACTTCATTTAGTGTAAACTTTCTGTAACAAATACCAAGTCTTTCTTAGAACCAGCTATTTAGAGTAGAGGCTGGCAATCAGAACACTAAAACCACATCAAATTGAAGTGACCATCTGACTTCCATGCAGTCTGCTTCTCATAGCCTTGCACTTCCGTACCAGAGGCAACTTTCACGGAAAGGAAGAGGTAAGGAAACCTTTTCCTCAGACAATCCTTTCTTCTTCACCTGTGACCCATGAAAAAGTGGCCTCCACTACAAAGGCTGCTATGACTGGGAAGCAGAGTTGTTACTTGAACCTTTTATAGTGAAACTACATTGTGTATTTCTGGTTGTTATTCCTCACAGAAGTATTATTTTAAATCTTAGCATTCATCTGAGGAACTGATTTATCTTCAAAATATTTCTGTCCTCCTAGGACCATTTAGCTTCCTGTTGCACATCTGAAGAGACACAAGAGCAAATGATTTCCTGTAAATGAGATGGCCCTGGATGGGTGTTGACAGGTCAGGTTCTTTCACAGAGCAGTAGCGTGCAAGAACACTATTTCTGCAACATAACACCATAAGGGTGACATGAAACTAATTAGAGGGGTTAAAAGGAGTGTGTTACCTTTGGGAGAATGAGAGGTAAATCGGTGCTTGCATTTTTTTCTTTGGATGTAGTTTGGTACTGTTCTAAAGAAGGAAAAGGGGAGACTGAATTAAGACTGGTGTTGAAAGAAGCAGAATGTCAGAGTGCAATGCTGGAAATAGCATAGTCAAATACTTGTGTTAGCATTCTAGTTGTTAATGTTGGAAAGTTACCATTTGCACAAACCATGCATGTTACATGTAGCAGAATTAACAACAACAAATCTACATGAAAAATAAACAGTACAATACAGCTTAACAGGTAAAAATCAATGTAAATAGGAACATAGAACTGTTGCATGACCAGGCTAAAGATTTGTCAGCCAGGCCTTATTTTAAGTATTTCTGACTGTTAAGACAGGTAGGTACCTTAAAAGTTACCTGCCAGGGAAGCCTTTGCTGAGCCACCATGGAGTGAGGCATAACACCTTCTCAGAACTTGACAGTAAGACACTGATCCGCATCCTGTTTTCTGAAAACAGAGAAGTAGCTCACTCATCATCAGTTTCCTCACTAAAAAAGGAGTAGCATTTGTAGTGATGAATAAAGGCTGAACAAATGGTTGTTAAGGTGTGACACGGGGCACTGTGAGAGTGCAATTTGTGTCTAGTATGATATTTTTTATCTTGGGGAGTGTGTGTGTGTGTGTGTGTGTACTCTGTTTACTGTTTCCTGCCTTGCTAGTCAGAGATCTCATGGTGTACCCTGGTGGATTTAAGTCAGCGAATAGCCAAGCAGTCACACGTATGTACAGTGAGACACACACAGATGTAGTTATGTCAGAAAAACTGTTACGGTGAACAGCAGCCACATAGTTGTTTTGCTTTGTTGTCTTTCTTTTATGGCTTAAGAACTTGGTAGTTGCCACTCCTAGAAGAATTCACTGCTGAATTTAAGTCCTTTATCAAGTAACTGAAATTTAGGCATGAGGTATCAAAGATCAAAGCAGAGTGAGCCGTTTCTTCCTTCTCCTTCTCCTCTCCTCTGCCACCTCTGCCACACTGCCAGGTGATGCTGAAGGTGGCCTAGTTTGAGGACTGAGCACTCTCGCTTTGATTGTGGAAGGAAGTCCTTGGAGTGATCCATTTTTCAGCTAACAATCCGTGAGATTAGGGAAGCTTGTGCAGGTGTGAGCTAGCAGGTTGTCACTGACATCTGTTCTGAGTGGAGGCACAGGTCCTCGGCAGCCTGCAGCGAGGTTGCAGGACTGTCAACAGATGTAGTTAAGAGTGGCAGAACAGTTTTGGTCTCACATTTGCTGCCTGGGGGCTGAAACACTAAAGGTAGAGTGGGGGTGGACACAGCTGTGCTCCCAAACATGCCTCAGGCACAAATGAAGAGATCCAATATAGTTTGACTCTGTTGTGGTGGAGAGATGAGGACAGAGAGACACTTCAGAGACAACTTTGCACTGCAACATCTGCTACCAAGTTTCCAGGGAGTGACAGGGGACAGCAGGTACAGATCGAAGTCCCCACATAAACAGCCTCCATTAAGCCATGAACTCTTTTGAAGGGCTCCCATCAAACATCATTGGGGAGTCCGCAATGGGAGATTTTGTTTTCAAGCCATGTTTTGTTTTCTGCACTAACAAGCTAATTTATAAATGATGCATTACCCTGTGTTCATACTCCTGTCTGTACTTCCTTTTGTTATTAAAGGGGGAGAAAAGAGGGAGCCACAGTAGTGTTGGGGTACTTTGATAAAACAGTTAACTGTTTGAGGATCTTATCTGAGATTGTGGCAACCTTCAATGTGCAATGTCGCATACAGCCAGGAAGCAGAGTGGAATGCGCACGCCATTGCCTCTTCCAGGGAATCATTACTGCATGAGAACAGACCTTGGCACAGGTTCTCAATGCTAACATTGGGAACTGGTCTTTTCTCCAAATCCTGGTGTTTGTTTTCTGATTCATAGCTTAGCACCTAAAGGTAATCATCAGGTCTCTTCAAATTTGTTATCTGACCATGTTGCTTTGTGCAGTTTGATAGTAGCTGAGATTCTGATCCTGTGCATGTTAATGCACACAATTTTCCTTTAAGTCCACAAAAAGCCTATGGCACTTATATTTAAAATGTTGCCCTATCAATATGCAAGTATGTGGGACTGGTAAAAGGGAAAAAACATCAGTGGCTAATCACAGAAGAATTTCTATAATAGAATTAGAGAATAGCTTTTTAATGTTACAAAATGGCCTAATAAAAAGGAGGACACTTAATTTTAAACCTGTTTATTACCATTTGCCTGCTTGAAAGATTCTTTCATAATAATGGCTGCAGAATTAATACAAACAAGTGTTTAAACTCATGTTACTTTGTGAGCATATCTGTGTTACACAAATGAATTATACTCTGCATTGTGACTTGGTTAGCACCACACAATTCACAGTTAGAAACACTTTGTCAGTATTCTGTTCTCTGAGACGAATCCCATGTTACTGTTCCCTTTGTGATTCTTTGGTAATTCCTAAACTTGGCACAGGCAGGAAATACTAAATCATTAATTGTTAGAAGGCTGAGGCTGTAAGTGCCTTACAACTGAGAACAAACACTCCGTAACGGCAGTGCCATCATCCCCCTTTGCAGCAGAGTTGCCCCTCAGCCAGCACTGTTACTAGCCCCATGCTTTGTAACCCAATGAGCACTGCTGTCTTCCCTAAGGGGGGTAACGGGAACAGGAATGAGGCTAATGGTGGCAGCATTTTTTAGTTTACTTCTGTATTCTCTAAATCCAGAACTATTTGTCCATTCTCTAACCAAGGGGGACCTCCTTGAAGAAAATGAAGGTGATTTGGCTCCTTTTTTAGCACTGCAGGTTGCTGAAATGCATAGGGAAATAACAAGTTACAGTTAGAGAAAGGTTACTGGGGCTGCTTAGAAGTAGTACGTGTTTTGGCTTAAAATTAAACTGCACTAGCAGTAATTCAAACTACAGTATAAGACTCAGTTAAATGGATCTTCTCCTTCAATGATAGTATACCCATTGAGCAAAGCATTTAAGGTCCTTTCCAACCTAAACCATTCCATGATTCTATGATTTTATGAAAACCAATTGTCCCTTGGCATGCCTAAAAGCACTGCAATTCTTACCCCCCCTCCAAGCTATACTAACAAGAAATTATTTCATTTGGCAATACAGTTTTTATTAGTATCTGTTTCACTGGGTATGATTTAAAAAGGAAAAAAAAAATTTGTTTTTTTTAATTCCTCAAACATCTTTTTCACGGTGTGGAGTACACTAAAAGCCGTTGTAGTTAATAGCTACCTGGCTGCGAATGAAGAGGGGGCAGTGTGTGTGTAACCAAACCTGGTTGTAAAGCACAGCTCCCAGCTTGAGCACAGCCCTTCTGCAGTTGATGTTCATGATGAGCATCTTATTAGTCCAGTTTAGGAAGAGAACTTAGTTTCAGCTTAGGCAGCGAGAAGCAAGCTGACAGGTTCATGTAGTTGCTCCTCTCCAGAAGAGATGTGGGATCTTTAACTGTCTTGGGCGCACAGATTTATTGAGTAGTCCGATGCTCCTAGCCAGATTAGTTCCTTTTCCATTAAGTGCTGAAAGTAGGGCAGCTGTCCGAGCGGCTGGTTGTAAATTCGATAATGTCTGCTGTGTTAATCTGTAGGCTTTTCAGATGAAGAAGGCAGCAGATAACAGGATTAGTTTCACGACCCAGGGTTTTCACAGCCTGAGACTCGGGCATAAGGGGATAGAGAATGACTTCTGTCATTAATCTTAATTGATTGCCAAGAGATTTTAAACTGTGTTATTAATTAGGAAGGTCCTTAACACACTGTCTACATATCAACATCAGATGCTCTTTTGGGACTTTTGGGACATATGGCCTATCTTATATTTACATTCACACAATTTACACATACATACATTTCGGTATGAAGAAATTCTTATATGTATATATGCATACAAATGGCTGTGGGAGCACTTGCATGTGCAGAAGCAGCACTCTCTCTTAGGCAAAACATAATGAAAGTGAAAAACCTGCTTCGAACAAAGGTTACATTTCCATACAAGAAACGTGTATACCTCTATTTATGGTGATATGTATATTAATCCATTTTAGTTATAGAT